ATTAAGTTATAATTTTTTGAATGTTCCTTATTTCATTTGTGTGTGTGTATTGGGGGGGGGGAGCATTTATCTCAGATATAAGTTTTTGAAAAACAAAATCAATTTATTATTTTCAACATTAAGTTATAAGTAACCATCTGCTTGTCATTTTCAACACTTTTTTGTGGAAAATTTTTACCAAGTAAAAATTTAAAATGGTTATCAAACACAGTTAAAAATCAGGTGTTGGAGCATTTCTTTTTCAGTGAAATGAAATTTTCAATGGTTTATCAAATCCATCCTTACTGCTGAGTTTGTTTGCAACCTCTTAAACATATTCCTCATGAAGTTTGTTGTTTACAAACTCAAGGACTCGTAGATAGCTACAAGCAAATTTTAGTATAAAACAATGTTAGGTTTGTGTTATCCACAATCCCCCCCTCCCCCCGAAAAAGAGAGAGAGAGAGAGAGAGGAAATAGAATTAGGATTATCTCTGTCTGAGCAAGCTTGCCTACTTTACGAATGGAGGAAAAATGCTTGTCAAGATTGATTTAGCCATGAGACATTGATATTTTTCAACATTGTGGTTCACAGATGGTGCAACTTGGTGATTTAAAACCTGAACCTGTGTTATGGCATGAAGATTCTGGGAGGAGACCTTGGGATGGAAGGCAGTCTGGTCATCAAATGAATAGGTCAGTATTCAAAAGATCGTATATTTGTTTCTGAACTTTCCTTTTTTCTTGCCAGAGTGCATGTCATTCACCGCTAGAAAACATTTACTGCCTATTTAACATGTTTTGCCCTTTCAGGCGTAACTCTTCTGGATCTCTTTCTGGCCATAAGCTTGGGGATGCATCACACAGACTTGTTGCTAATAGCTTACAGTCGAAGATGGATCGTAATGGGTTCAACAATAATATGCAGGCTCCCTATAATCCACCAGTAAATTCCTATGTAAATTATGGGTTTCATAACCAGGGACAACCTAGTATGGTTCATCCTAGACAAGATTACCCTGGTGCAGGTTACCCATTTTCTCAGAATCCACCTTCACGGCATTTGAATTCTCACAGCAACCATAACTACCAAATAAATAACCAAGCAGCGGTCAATAACATGCACTACCCTCCAAGACATCATCAGGATGGTGGATCGAGGCACATTCCTATGGCACAAGTGTCAACTGAGGCTGATATCTATCCTTCTCATCCAGGTGGTTATGACGGCAACCACTGGTATCAGGGACCCGAGAACAGTAGCTATCAGCAGTGGAGTGGTAGAATGGCTCCGCAGGCCAATCAAAATGGTTCTGGAGGGTATGGCTTATATGAACAAGGTGGAGTTAACCAGGGTTTTCATAGAGAGCATGGCCATCAGCAGCAAAGAGGTAACCAATCATATCATCATCATCGTCAGAGGGGAGATTATGAAGAAAGGGGAAGCCAGCCACACACGGGCAACCAACAGTACTATGGTAGCAACCAACAGCAAAGGAGTAATCAACAACAGAGGGGAAACACGTATTCAGCACTAGATAGGAGAGGTCACTGGAGGGCCCCCAACCACTGAAAGGTGAAGCTCATCTAACTGCTATTAGCTAGTTTGATGTTTTAGTTGTATGATACCTGGCTAGGGATTTCCTTCTGGAAAACAAATAAAGGTCGATAATTGTTGTCAAGCATCATGTAGTGTTTGCTTTATCTTCTTGTTTACCCGTGTTGTCTTCTTGCATAAGATTTAGTTTAGATTACATGTAGCCATCTACACTCAACTTTCAAATAATGGCTTCTTCTTTCCCTACTGTCTCTTTGACTTGCTTTTTTCAATTGGTCCATGAACGGAGGATAAAAACTATGAATTTAGCTCATCAGGACCACAAATTCGTTCCTTAGAAATGCCTAAAAATATTACTTGTTATGGATTAGAAAAACTTACCTAATCAATGAATGATCATAGCTCGGTTAATAAGACCGCCAAAGAACATGAAAAAAGAAAACATAGTATAGCATTTTGATATGTCTGGTCGGGCTACTGCGCCTCCACTTTAGGTGGAGAGATTATAATTTAGACAGCTTTCTTTAGCATTAAATTTTTAGTAGCGGATTTTGAGATTGACGCAGTAAAGGTTAATGATCACAGTGTTCCCACAACTGTTCAAGTCTTAGGTTAAAGACCATTTTAAGTTGTGTTTTTTTAATGGGGCAATGAGGGTCACTGCTCATCATTCACCTTCACAATCTTCCTTTGCCTCTTACTCTTTCCATGCATGGTTTTGCTTATACTTCATTTGTGGTAAACAAAGCAATACACACACATGTATACACTGGTATACATAAATTTCATTAAGAAAAAAAGAGAGATTGTGACGATTGTAAATAATTTATTCTTTTAAATTTGAATAGAAAGTCGTAATTAGTAGTTCTATGGAGGTTATGAATAGAAGTGAAGTGAAGAAAAATAGTGAGAAGCTTAAAAAGAGCATGTGAGAGAGGAAAAAAATATCCCTTATTCAGCTATGCATAGTAACTTATATATTAATTGTATGTTGGCATTAGGTCTAGGCTATGATGACCATTTGTAGGTTGACATAGCAAATAAATATAACTATCAGATAGTAGATTTGGTTCTGACAAATCATGCTAAATTTGTCACTAGTAATGTTAAGAGATTGTAGCTAATTGGAGGATATGAAACTTCGAGGTTTCTAAGAACTCTAAAGGCTTTAATCATTGTAGGAGCAAAGTTATCAAAGGCTCAAGGCGCAAAGTATCCTGGAGCCTTGAGACGCGAGGCGTATGAAAGGCGCGGGATTCACGAAGGCGAGGCGCATGATATCCAAAAAATTATAATACATGTATATATTAATGTCAAATATCATAGATACCTATTATTAGATTTCAATAGAGTTCATTCTCAAACTCAATATCAACCTAACGTCATAAAAACTATAAACAAGTATAATCAAGTACTAAGTTTAACAAAAACATCCAACATTCATAAACAAAATATCAAATAAAGACACATATGCACGAATTGCGGTGATTATCAAGAGACTTTGATTCAGAATAACAAAATTCTTTCAACACAGATGGTTAGCAGTATAAATCGAAGGATCAATCGAAGAATAAAATCACTTACGAGAAGAATTGAATGTGTGAATCGATTAATCGAAGTATTGTTGCTGTCTTGTTCAACGTCGCCAGTCGAAGAAAACGAGGAATTGGCCGACCGATAGGTTAGTATGTGTGGATTAGAAGGTCGATTGACAGTCGATTGAGGGTTTTAGGGGGTCGGCCTATAGGAGAGAAGGCCCTGCAATAATAATTACAAGGTTTTAAGCCCACATCGCGCCTCAATTGCGCCTCGACTGAGCCTCGCACCTTTGAGCCTCGCTGCGCCTAGGCTATGTGCCTCGCTTCAGTGTTGAAAAAGCCCCGTTCAGTGAACCTATGCTCTTTTGCGCCTCAGGGGTGCCTCCGCTTTTTACAACTTGGTGTAGGAGTTCTCCGAAGGCCTTAATTGGCAGATGATTGATAACAAAGGTATTACTTGCGTAGGAAACCCATAGGAGGTTAACACTTGCTCTCTTGATTGAGGAAATATCATAAAGTGGTTTAACCGAAACCTTAGGGGAGAAGACGTTTATTGATGAAGCAATCAGAGAGAATTTCTTTCAACACCTATATATATACACACACAAAAAGAAGAATCATCGAAGTCTGATGAGACAATGATAAAAAATGAAATTAAAAATATTAATAGTAGAAAAAAATCTGAAAGAAGTATAACGATAAATATACGTACATACATACAAAAGACATTAGAATAAACAAAAAACAGAGCGAGGACAAGTGATGAGAAGCACAATACAAATGATTTGGGCACATGGTGTTTGCCGCTGCACTTGAAGACTTCCAAAATAGAATAAACACACCTCTTTTAAAACCTCGGAACTTTTTTTTTTTAATATTCACAATGAATCGTACACATGATAGCCCCAGGGCATCTGGAAAGTGGCAAAGCAAAAACCTTAGGGAGAGAGAGACTACAAATTTACAATGTTGCCTCAGAATGAAACCCTACAACCAAGACCAGACCAAACCCTTGAAGCCTCACTACTTCCTGCAATGAAGCTCTTTCATCGTTTCCGCAAGTTTCTTATGCGTCTCGTTTTCTTTCTTCCTTCTGGTGGATCTTCTGGCAAATCATCAAACGCGTCTTCTAAGCAAAACAACAGCGACAGGTTTGATCCACCTAAGCTTTCATGCAGCTCTTATTACTCTTCCCATTCCCATTACACTGAGGCCATCGCTGACTGCAGGGTTCTTCAACAAGTCATCACAAGACGGGATTTTGGAGGCTCCAAAATCTGATGTTTGGGTTTAATTGTAGATCATGGATGCTGCTTCTTTTTGTTTGAGTCCAAAATCTGATGTTTCGGTCTTATGTTATTCTTCTCTTTTTTTGCTGGAAGTTTTTTTTTTTTGTTAATGCATAGCAGCTTTTTTAAAAAAGATTTGGATCAGTCTCTTCCTTCTTGGGTTACGAATCTATACCTTAAAAAGAGACATTGGAAAACTTGAAATTCATGTTTTTCTCTGTTTGTACGGTGAGAATATCTTCACATTAAAATTTGTTCTTTTTTCTGGTTTATTTTTTAAAAGAAATTTGATTCCCATCAATTTTCGTAAGGCTTCCAACCCAAGTTAAAAGAGTTTTTCACTTACGCCCAAACATTGAACTTCAAACCTAGTATTTGTACATGTTAAGATTCGAACTTTAGACTGATGGAATATAATTAACCAATTTATTTAAGTTCAATGAAACTAACAAAAAGCAGTAGAATAGGTCCAAATTTGCCAAGAAAATGAAGTGATTTATATGAACTTTATCAGATAATTCATAAAAACATCACACCCTTCATGTAACTTAAAACTGCTAGACGTGTTACAAAAGAATTGTGAAACCTCGCAAGAAGAACAAGTAAAATCTCATAAAAGTATTATAAGTTGGGTGTACGAAATTATTGGGTTCATTTTTTCTTGGAAAATAAGCCTCCAATCAAAGAGATCAATGGCTTCTTCTTCTTTCTTAGTGAAGGGTGTCTATCGAGTTTTTCCACACCTTGTGGACCGATAACTCGAGTTAAAGAAGGTTGATTAGCAAATGTCACGTATCTCTTCTTTTGAAACTCAGGAGTTCCTTCATCAAAGGTTATTGTTTCATCAAGCTCATATCTAGCGGAGCCTGGGACGATCCTGACATCGTCCATCTCAAACTCCATCATTGGTTTCTTGATATCTCCTTCTTTCATTAGCTCCAGTTCTCTCTTTGTTCTTTCAAGCTCTTCTTTGAGAGAGCACAGGCAATTCGCCATCACCATACTCCCTTCTCTAGCCTTTTCAAGGTTATATTTCGTCTCTTCCAGTTCAGCTGTAACAGTTACAAGCCTGGAAGCACCTTTTTCAGTAGCTTCACCATGCATCTGTCGCAAATGAACACAGTAAACTAACAATGACAGGTTTATTGAGGGAGTAAGAGAAAGAGGTTACCTGTTGGTTGAGCTTGGAGGCATAAATTTGGCCGGCTAAAACAGTATCGCCGAACAAGGCAACGGCTTCTTTAACAGAGGTGAAGGGTGGGGTGGTGTCGATTTCTGCCCTATTAGTATTGATCATCACAATGTCCATGCTGATGAAGTGATTGTTTTGGGGGAGGAAATTGAAGAAATATAAAATGGAGGGAAGGGAGCTTCGTTGCTTGGCGTCCACTTCACCGGAATGTGATAGTATAATATATGGGCTTCGACTGCAGAAAGGCTGTTTAACTATTCCCAACGGATCAAAGGACCTGCCTCTACTGTTTCAGTTTCAGGGCCCTCCTCTACCCATTGCTTTACTATCCCTCAATGCCCTATTTAATACACTTGGAATCTTCTTCTCCCTCCACTTCAACTTTCATTATGTATAAATATTTTATCTCAATTATGGCTTTTAATTTTTTTGAGTAGGTTTTGCTTAAATGTATTCTTATTATTGATTTAATTATATTATATTCAAATTTTATTATGTGTATACGTTTGAATTTTGATATAGATTTGTTTTAAACTTAAATTTTATTACGTGTGAATCTAATTATATTTTATAAGGATTAAATATTATAACAATTACTTGAATTTATTATTGTGATTATAATTATCATTGTACTTATAAATTTATAAAAGGAAACCGATCGTAATTATAAATGCACTTGTAATTTAAAAAGCATCTCTTAGTAATGTATAAACAGTAGTTTTTTAAAATTATTTTCCACTGAATTTAACTTTGGTTTTTTTAGAGAAAATTTAGCTTGGTTTCTATAAGGATTACTCGAATTTGAAGTAAATAAGAATATATAAATAATATAAAAAAATAAATAATATAAAAAAAGAATATAAAAATAATAAAAATTAATAATATTAAATATTAATTTAAATATTAATATATTCTAAATAAAATTATATTATTCTAAATAAAATATAAATAAATTAGGTTTAAATCTATAAAATTAAATATATATTTTAATTTAAAATACCACTCTTGTTATATACTACAATGTTATAAAACTCATATCGTTATTTAAGAAATTATTTATTTATTCAATAATAAATTAATTAATTAATTATAATTTTTTTAAAATGAAATTTTTAATCGGTCGAAACTACGTCTTAAGTCAATTTTGATATGAATTATGAAGTAATTTCATTTTCATTTCCCTCTCTTTTCTTTATAAATTAGTTTTATGCCCACAGAAGCCCAAGCCTTCAGTTAAAGAACCCAAGGGGCAGCCCCAAAAGCGAAACAGTATTTGTACGTCATGTGCGTAGGTTAGTATTACCTCTATAGTTTAGCTTTATAACGCGCCGAAGTCGGACCGTTAAACTCCCATTTGAAATTGCAACGATTCAAAATTCTCTCAGTTTCAGAACCCAACAAAAAATCTCACAATAGTCTCCTTCCTCCTCCTCTTCCTCTTGTCCTTGTAATTCAGCTATCAAGAAGGGCACAAATGGGAACGAAAACACGGTCTCAACACTCTTCAGAGCGTCTGAAGGGGGATCAAATCTTTCAGGGTTTAGTTAAGATGCTTAAAACCCAGCAACAACAGCTTGAAACGTTGGCTAAAGAACGAAAAATTCTCGAAGATCGGTTCAAGATGCAGTATGAACGGTGGGTCTCTGATGTTCGCCTTTATGAAGATCACATTTCTCAGGTAACACTTCTCAATTTAGGGGTTTTACGCTTTTCTTGTGTGTGTGTGTGGTAAATTTGGGCTTTTTTTAATCATCATTATTGTTATTATCTTGTTTCACCTAATTTGAGGTGTAATGTGAGGGGTTTTGGTTAAATTTCTGGATGTGTAGATGGAAAGTGAGTTGCAATCGGAAGAGATGGTACGTGTGCTTGAGGCTGCAAAAGCCGATATGTTGGTAGGATTGAAGCAAAGAAAAGCTTTTCTTTGTGAAATGAAATTAGGTATGTGTTGTTTCCTCTTAATATATATATTTTGTTTTGTGGGGGGGGGGTAATTCTCTGTGGAAGAAACAAACTTGTGATTATGATGGGTTGAATTCATGCTTTGATGAGTGAACTGACTACAAATTGTTTTTCTTTTTTGGTAACTTTGATATAATTTGATGTTTAGATTTTCTCAATTGGCTTATTACAGAGGAATCAGAGGATGAATCGACTGATTTCAGAGTCTGGTTTAACATCCTCAGTAAAAGTTCAAAAGAATGTTCCCATGACTTTTCTCTTTTTCATAATTTCATACTTTGTACAAACTTCTAAGCCTTTTATAATTTCATTATTTCAGGATATTTCTCAAAGGGACCTCATAGAAACCAAAAAAGGAATGTTGGGAGGCAAGCGCAGTGGTTCAAAGTCTGTTACTTTGGAAACATTGGAAGACAATGTAAGAAGGATAAAGCTTCAATATGAAAATCTTGTTTCAGAAAAGAGTTCTCAAGCCACTGCACTTATGGCCGAGAATAAGTCTGCGTGGAATCAGTTTAATGTTCGGGAAAGTTAGTACATGGATAAATTAAACAGCAAGCAGTCTGAACTTGAAAAGGCTAACAAGCGGATCGAGACACTTATTTCCGATATGGAGGAGCTGAGATCATCAAATGCTGAAAAGGATGAAATAATTGAGAGCTTAAAAGCTGAATTGTCTCAGAAGGAGGCTGATGCAAGTAGATTCCAAGAGGCTTCAAAAATTTCTTGGGATGTAGAATTGTCAAGGAAGTCCAAAACCGCTTCTTGTACACCTGTAATAAAACGATGCACTGCAGGCGAAAAAACTTCCATTCTTTGAGGTAAGAATGGAAGCAGGGAGAAGACTCTACCCCTCATGTTTCTGATCTTCAGAAGAACAATGAAAAGGTACTTTTGTTCATAAATCTAGCTTGAGTAACCAGCAATAAGAAAGTTAACGTTCATGATTATTTCATCTATTTCCCCAAATAGAACTTGAAGGCTAATACGCTTGCCAATACGTTAATTTTCATTCTGAAATCTGAACTTATTCTGTTATGATGTTAATACTGTTGTTTGTGTTGTTATATGAAAGATCCTTTGTCTAACCAAATGTTGAATTCTTATGGTCGTTTAGGGAAGCAGAAGCACGAAGAGAAAAAAAGATGATGCTATACCCCTTTCCGAAACTCCGAAATTGTTCACGCCTACATTCAAAGTTCCGAGATTGAAAACCTCGTCTCCCAAGATAGGATGACCTGCACCATCTTCTTGCCTTCGGAGGTTGCTCTTCTAGGTATTTTTTTGTTTATTAAGCTGTAATCTTAGCAGTTTAACCGATGTGTATTAGTCCCATTCCCCGGAGCAAGTGTTTGTGTATCGTTTGTATGAGTCTAAATACAATGAAGTAGCTTGTAATTCTCACAGCAATCCAATGTTCATTTAATTATTACTAGTATAAATAGGCCATGTTAGTTTATCGACCACGATTATTATAAATTGCACTATGCTTGGTACTTCTTACTCTCCCTTCTAAACATATCCTGGATTGACAACAAAAGTTGATGACATCTTAGGAGCCTGTGGTGGAATAGCACAGACACTGGATGAATTCTTGATTTGAACATTGATCATTTGTTCATCAACTTCTTTGGTCCCACGGAACATAGCCTACGCTAGGCTGTTAGGTAGCGGCCATGGCCAGGGTCAGCTCATGTTCTTCGCATCCACATTTGTTGAGTTAGCTCCGGGGTGAGATAAAATTAACGATTATAAGTTTTTAGTTTTGGATTTTAGAATTTTTTTTTTAAAATAAATTTTTAAGTTTTCTAATTTTTTTTTAAATGTATATAATTGTGACATGTATTGGATAACGATTTTTAACTAAAATAAAATTAACGATTATAAGTTTTTATTTTTGGATTTTAGAAATTTTTTTTTAAATAAATTTTTAAGTTTTCTAATTTTTTTTTAAATGTATATAATTGTGACATGTATTGGATAACGATTTTTAACTAAAATCATGACGTAGAAAATTAAAAGAGTAATGTCGAAAATATTAAACACTTAATTTGAAGAAAAAAAACGTTAAACGCTTAAAATTTACAAAGGATATAATTTAAGCATGTATTTTCTCCTTTAGCCAAAAAAATTAGTGAATAGAAGAGTTAGATGAGTTTAAACTTTGAACTAACAATTATTTATATACAAGAAGAGAAGCATAAAATGAAAAGTTTGTATTTTGAATAGAATAAACTTTAACAATTGTATAGGATATTCATGAAATGAGAAAGAGGAGGAAGGATGATATAATTAGTAAGTTGTAAATGATGAAAAGTGAGTTGTTAATAGAGGCTTACGCTCAAACCGCAATTGTGATTTGCGATTGATTCTGAAATGTCTCCCCTTTCTTTCCATTCATTTGGCCACATTTCGCCCCTTTTCTTCCTCTCATTTTCTCTTCGATTTTTAGTGTTTTTCTCTCCAACCTATCTCTGCTCCTTAGGGTTTGCCTTGTGGAGACAAATGATGAACTCTATGGATCCTCGTTCTTCTTTGCTTAACAACAGCCTCAACCAAATCTGAGAGAAACGGAAACGAATTTCGAATCTTGTAGAATAATAATAAGAGAAAATAACCTCAGTGACCAAAAATCCCATATAATATACGATTTTAACCAACTTTTTCCGGATTTGCCAAAATGACCAACAAAATCGCAATGCGATCGCTAATTCGCAACGCGATCTCCATTATCGCAAATTCGCGTTGCATTTTCGCAATGCGATAGTTGAAAATCGCGTTGCGATGGTCTACAGTATCGTTGCGATTTTCCCAATTCGCAATGCGAATAAGTAAATCGCAACGCGAATTGGGAAAATCGCAATGCGAATAAGTAAATCGCAACGCGAATTGGGAAAATCGCAATGCGATACTTACTATCGCAATGCGATAATAAAAAATCGCAACGAGATACTTACTTTCACAACGCGATATTGACTTTCGCAACGCGATTTACATAGCGCCATTCGTATTAACGCGTATTTTTTTTTCAAATTCCAAACATGAATTTTTTCTTAATAAATCGGAAAATGAACCGTCCACAGTAATCGCAACTCATAACCTCAAACCCAAAAACACAACACTCAGTCCCATCTCCATCTCTCACTCTCTACGGCAAAATCCGTCCCCATCTCCGAAGATTTCCGTCCCCATCGCCGGCGAAATCCCTCACAACCATTCACAGTCAAAAATCCCTCACAATCATTCAGAAATGGAAAATCAACCTCCGAGGGTTAGTTTTTTTTTATTTTTATTTTGAAAATTTTGCATTATTTTAGGTTTTTCATATTGAGATTGATGATAAGTTTACTGGTAATTTCAATAATAGATTAACCATTTCACTTAGATTTCTTATTAAATTCATTCGATTGCTGCCAATACTGCTAAACTATTTAGCTTGTGAAGTTAGTATTTGTCTTTGCTTTGTCTTTTGGTTGAAGTAATGCAGAAGAAGAATAGTTTCGAGAATGAAAATCGCAACGCGGAAATAACTATCGCAACGCGAAACCAAAATCGCATTGCGATTTTCATTTCGCGTTGCGATTTTACTTTCGTGTTGCGATTTTTATTTCGCGGTTGCGATTTTCATTTCGCGTTGCGATTGTCTGGTTGCGATAGTCATTTCGCGTTGCGATTCTCTCGTTGCAATAGTCATTTCCGCGTTGCGATTCTCATTATCTCGTTGCGATTTTCATTTCAACCAAAAGACAAAAACAGTGTTGCAAATTTTAGTTTCAAGAATAAACTACTATTTATGTTTATTGTTTTGTTTTTGGTATATCTTGACAGTGTAATTTTTGGTATATCTAACTTGGTATGTTTATTGTTTTTTTGTAGAAATTTTTTTTGGCTTCATTGACATTAAGGAATAAAGTTAGCCTAGCCACTACAATTGCTTCGAAGCTTTCACCTGCACAAAGAAAATTGTTTGAAGAAACCTGCTTCGGGCCATGGCTGAGAGTACAGCATCCGGGTGGAGATGCTAGTTTGACCCATTTGTGGCTTCAGACCATGACTAGTGATCTACCCGACAGTATACAACGTGGTGAGGAAGAGATATGGTTTCATTTTCCACCAGCGTATACTTGTTTTGGGCGGAAGGAGTTCTGCTTAATCACTGGTCTACGATTCGGACACGATGATATAGGCCGGTACACTCGTCATATCACCCGCCCATCATGGTTATCCAGGGTTTTTCCTGATGAGTCAATAGAGAAGCTGAACTTACACGTCGACGACATGAAGAAATTGTTTAATAAGAAAGATGGTTTTACTCGGATGAATGACGTCGATGTTGTCCGAGTATGCCTTCTACTACTTTTGTATGCCGACTTTTTAGGCAGAGAGGCCAGACAACCTATTCCTCAGGAGCTAATAGTATTGGTAGAGGACCTAAATGCATGGAATCTGTTTCCGTGGGGTTCGTATATATGGAAAGCTACCTGGACTAAGTTGTCGTCTGCCTTTGATGACCGCAAAAGTTTGCGGGGCGATGGGTCGAAATACACTTTGTCAGGCTTTATTTGGGCCTTTAAGGTAAGAATTTCTATATAATGTTTTCAAAATTATAATTAATTATTTAACAATTACTAATGTTTGTTATTATATTGTTTGTAGATTTGGATATTCGAGGCTTTCCCCAGCATGCGGACATATGCATTAAAATCCTCAGATGATATTCCTAGGGCTATTTCCTGGAAGAGGAAACGTATGTTGGATTGGGAAGACTTAATACCATATGCGACAATAAATAATGTAAGTTAACAAAAATACTATTATATATAAACAAGTTATTAATAGTAGACGTTTAACTTTGTTTTAGTTTTTATATTTTTAGGAGGCCAACACTCCATTAATGAGACTGACACCCACGGAGGCTGAGCTTGCCACTGATTGGTGGCAAGCTAGTCAGCGTTTTTTTGATGGCACGAATGATGAGCAGCCTCCACTTCCTCCACTTCGAGAGCCATCACCTGATCGACCCGACTATACACCTCTACAACGAGAGCCATCACCTATCCCGTCACATCATCGAGTCTCTTCTCCACCATCACCTCATGATAGGCGACCGACAAAGATGCCACGACTTCTATCTCCCTGTTCTCCACCTCCACGGGATGAGTCAAGGGAGTTACGTGATGAGGTCAATGCCTTGCGTGAGGAGATCGGCACTCTACGCGATAACGATGGTGCATGGCGTGTGGAGGTGTCTACTTTACGTGGTGAGGTTGCCGCTCTACGTGAGATGGTAGTATCGTTGCAGAATGAGGTTCATACTCTACGCAACGAGGTAAGTTTAAGATTTTCCATATTTAACTTGATGATAAATTTACTCGTAATTTTACTTAAATTAACCATTTTACTTAGATTGCTTAGTAAATTTATTCGGTTGCTGCCAAAACTGCTAAACTTTTACTTTAACACTGTGAAGTTGGTATTTGTCTTTGTTTTGTCTTTTGGTTGAAAGTTTGAAATATATTTATCTTTGTTTTCACTGTTTAAATATCATGTCTGTTTATTTACTGATATTTGTATTTTTATTTAGCGGACCGATAAGGTGGATGCTTTACGTCGGGTTTTTCTTGCATGACAGAGTTCACGCATCAGACGGCGCGAACGTGCTATTAAGTCTCCGTATACCCCAATAGTGCGAAGACACCGCAAGAAGAAGCCCGACTCGCCTATCATCCCTCAAGAGTCCACTCCTATCGTTGAAGAGGCCCCTATCATTCCTCGAGAGTCCCCTCCCACCGTTCAAGAGGCCACTGTCATCGTTGAAGAGGTCCCTCCCACCATTCAAGAGCCCGATTCACATGGCGTCATATGTAGGATTCTTGAGAAACCCTCTGACGTGCCGAACATGATGGATTCAAGTTGGCTCTCGTATGAGTTACCGGCCAGTACCATACCGGTATCTGAAGAGGAGAGGAAACAACTACCGGACACAATTCTGGATAACACCCTTTGGGCTAAGACCGCAGTTGATTTTTATCTACATGAGCGAAGCCAGGGGTGTTTCACTGACATATGCAAGCTCAATGATGATATCTATTTGTTGCTTGATCGGTCTTGGTGGGGTGTATTATTAGGGGTCGAAGAGAATGGCTATTTCGATGGAGGGGTAAGTCTTATATTTTTCTTATATTTTCATTTGATTATTTTTTTGTAAATTTATGTAAGTTACTAATATATGTCTTT